AAATAAATATTACATAAAATAGCATCTAATTTATAAATTAGCTTTTTTTATACTTATATTTTTTTTAGAAACACGAATGGGACAGAGGAACCCAAGCAATCCACTTTTGTACAAAATCTCCCTCTGGTATATTCTATATAACTAATTTAGTTTTATTTAGTATATTAAATGAGCGCATAACTTGATTACAGTTTCTGTCAGTCGATGTCTTGAAAAGGAATGTAGCAAAGCTGGCGAAAGTCCAGCCATCGTCTGAATTGGCTGTAAATAAAACGAAATTGCTATCAACGAGGCACTAATGTAGTTACGCTTTAATATTACGATAATTTATTCGGGCACCGAGCGCTTGTCTCAGTTTCGTTCTCTAAGAACAAGCTTCATATTTCAGTAAGAGTAAATTTGTATTGCCCTTTACTGCTTTTACAAATATATTCATGCGCCACTATATCTTAAATAAATAACATATTGGTCTTATTCAATCTATGTATATTAATTGAACTCAAATCAGAATTTTTTTAACATCTCTCTAAACTATTGATTTATATTAATTTATTTCTAGGGAAATTAGATAAAACTTTGTCTGAGAAATCAGTTCAGGATACGATAGGGCTGATACACACGAAGAAGGTAAAAGCAATTATAATAAAAAAAAATAAAAAAAAAAACTTGTGTACATAATACACGGCAAAATCGAAATAGTGTAATTTTAAGAGAGTGTTGTAAAAGTGAAACTGAATATTGAAATACGACAAAAAATTGGAGTCTTCCGAGTCTTAATACGGCGTGTTCTGATTTTTATTGTATTTTTCTGAATCATCACTTCCTTCAAAGGATATTTCGATTTCACTCCAATATTACAGAATTAGATGGTACTAGATATATTCAACGACTTTACCTGCGCCAATCAGTATATAAAATATCCTATATGCTAAGTTAGGATATAACCTACTCATGTAACAAAGATCATTTAAATTTTTTTTTTGGATTTTGCGTGTAAGAGTAACAAATATCCATCCATCCATACAAACATTGGTATGTATAATAATAATAAAATTTTATCTATTCAGTATATAACAGTCAATGAACGTCGTATTACGTAATTTGCTGAATTTAAATTATAATTTTATGACAGGTATGAAACCCATGAACATTTTGTATGGAAAAATGTTTTATCTTTTATTTTATTTTTTCGAAAATTGTACCGATTTCATCCATTCAACAACTGTCTAATACGACAAACATAGTTGATAAAATTCCCGTTATATATATATTTGAAATACTTAATCGGATACTTCAAAAGAAAATGTGGCAGAGCAATTTTCTTTGACTTTCCTTTAAGTGATATCTTTGAGGGTAGGATGAAGTAGGTCAATGGAGCGCGGCCGGGACTCATCAATAATAAAGTGTGTGGTTTTACTTTCTTTGTGGTTTCACGTCTTAAGATCTAGAAAGGATCACTATTTCTATACTAACTTATATTGAATTTGTTTGATACTTTTAAATGAAACTAGCGATCAATCTTTTTTCCCCAATTTACTTGTATTTTTGACTTAATTTTTATACGATTTCGAAAAAAAGGGGTATCATCTCCACTCACTTGCTTTTTTTATGTTTGTTACCTCATAACTCCGTCAATTGTAAACCGATTTAGAAAGATTTTTTTTTTTACCTGAAATATCCTTTACTAATATATTTATAGATCAGTCCTAAAGAAATTTTATCAAAATCATTTTAGTAGTTTAGTTTTTAAATCAAAATTTTTATTTTAAGGTTTTGCCATAATTGAGTAATCGTTTTTATGGAACGCAATTTTAATTATGTATTGTTTAAGTTTATTTAAATGTATGTGTTGTATTTTATCGATGTATAAATGTAAAAATAAGAATGTATATTCTAAAATTAATAAGAATCTAGATATGTATTATATATAAAATTATTATGCAATAAAAATCAATAATTAAAATCAATAGACCTATGAATGAATGAATGAAATTTTTATTGCTAAAAATGTGGTACAATCAGGTCATATGGTAGTATTACAATGGTTTCACACATTTTGTCATTACTGACGTGCAACAGTCATTACAAAAGTTATGACAAAATATTTTTTTTTTATATAATAAAATAACATGTAAATTTTTTAACGTTAATTTTACAAATATAATAATATAATAATAATTGTAATATAATTATAAAGAAATGTCAATATTTTATAATGTGTAAATATTTTATATTTTGAAAATATTCCTGGATATTATAGTAACACTTATTTACTAGCCTTTTTTTTAATGAAAAAGATCTTCAAGTTGAATTAGATAGATTTTGTACTTTATATTGTATTTTTATTTTATCTATTTAAAGTTATGGATATGGCAAACATACTAAAGGTCTGATTAATAGACGTAAGTGGTATCTGTCGCCTATAAAGATAGACATTGATATCACAGAATAACACTGGGATGCTCAATGGTTACCATTCTTGAGTGACGGTGAAACTTTATAATTGCACAGTTATGTCCCACTCTTCAAACCAAAATTTTAATGTGTTTCGTAAATTAAATTAAATAGATGAATAATATTTAGTCAATTCATTAATTTACTATTTTTGACACAAGCATTATTCTCGATAAATTCTAGTTATATAAATTTTGGGGTCTGTATTATATATTTTTATTGTTATTATCCAAGGTTTTGGACCTTGGAGCTTCAGCTTTTTTGGATAAAAGATATTATTATAACAATTATATGTAATTACACTGAATTATGTAATATCGTATAGCCTATATCTGATTTGGGCTTTGAACCTAGAACTTCTCGATATTATATAGAATAAATAACAAACAACATGGCTACGTCACGACAAATAATTGTAACCTTTGAAATAACTTTACGCGTCAACTGAACAGACGTTTTCACGTGCAAATAAACTACAATTAAGACTTGTAAAATTGCCCTACACTTATTTCTAGCACTATAAATTACTATTGATTTCCGATAACGACCAACTATATCAGAGAGAGAGACGCGAAACGCGTCAGCTTTGCTGTTCACCGCTAAACATGTATCTAACCTTGCCTATCGATAATTCATATTCGCTGAAGTGTAATTCACTGTAATATTTATGATTTATGGATTAAAATGATAGGTACTTTGGAATTGTTGAAAGAAAAGGAGCAATGACGTTGCGACTTTACTGTTAATGTTATTTATTGAATTTTAAGTGTTAACTGAATAGTTTTTAGTGATATGATGATGAGGTCGACCCCCACATAGTCTCCCCTGAAAGCCATCGTGTTGAATTCCAGGTGTATTCTTAACGATGTGCTAACTGACCTGCCTTTTCATTCTCATCTATTCCAACATCCGTTAGCGCAGGCGGGGTTACTATTCCATAACCATTGTGTAAAAAATATTCCTATTTAATACAACTGATGGTATAATGCAACGTGTAAATAAATAAAAAAAAAAGGGCTCTTTATATCATACTAGTTATCCTCTCCGGTTTCGCATGCGTGAATAGATAGAAAGATAAATTAATATTTTATTATATTAGCTTTAATAAGGATTTTTTATACATAGTGTTTTTTTTTTTTCATAATTGTAAACTTTTTTCAACTAAGTTTAAAATCTTGAATAGTTTTTGATTAGATTGATGGATGTACAGGAAGAGAATCAAATTTTATTTAAATATATACAAGTATTTGGTATTTTTATTATCTTGCCTATTTCAATGGGAATAATGTCCTATAGAATTCTATTATTAGCAATATAACTTCGTGGTTAATTTGTTACGATGGGCTAACTGACTTGCCATCATTTATTTATTTATTTACACTTTATTGCACCAAGTAAAAAGAGAAATAACAAATACAGTAAATATTAATGAGAATGATACAAAAGGCGGCCTTATCACTAAGCAATCTCTTCCAGACTACCTTTGGGTAGAGGACATTGAGAAAAGGGCAAAGGGTAGGTGGCGCACTATTATATAAATATTATCATATACAAACATATATACATACATACATAAATACACATACATATATAATATATACACAATCAAATATATACATAACATACACATACTTAACAGCACACATACAACAGAAAAAAAATGACGAAGGAAAAATTCATTTTCACTTGTATATTCTTATTGCTATCCCACCAACATAGATCGATATCGCGGGAGGGATCCCGTTTCTTCTCTACTCAAAAAAAAAGTTAAGTTTAGTAATTTTTTTTGTGGGAGTATTACAAAAATGACAAATAAACGTTCACGACAAACAACCCTTCTGATGGCAACCATAGCCATACCAATGTCAGTAATGCCAGAAGTACAATATGCGCGTTGCTGACTCTGAAGAAACTAATGTTCAATGTGGGGGCCAACAATCCGCTAATCATTATTAAGTTGTATGGGAGTAAACCTCACAAAAGGTGCTTACGACATCGCGGTGTTATTGCCGGTGGCGCCTTGACTTGTTGTTTCATATCCGGAGTAATTGGTAAATAATACTCGTATTAAACATATGAAGAAATTCTTGACATGAAATTGTTAATTTGTGAAACTTTTTATTGCGAATTCGACATCGTTTAAATAAAGTTAATTATTTATTTAAATGTTATTGATCAATATAAAGTGGTGCAACCAGTAATCTCAACAAGTTAACATTTAAAAAGTGCATATGAAATCGATTGAGGTTTTTTTTTGTATGAATAACAAGGAAGTTGATGGTCCATCTGATAGAAAAGGATAACAACAGTATCTAAACATGTATAGAATTATAGGCATAATTAAGTACCTTGTGATTCCTATGATAATCACAAATATATAATATATTTATTTATTTATATAATTTACCAGAAATTTCTCTATGATATTACACCTTTCAAATATTGAAATAAGGTTTTGAAAATATCTTAAAACGTGCAATCCTGTATTTGGGAATTATAATAAATAAATTTTAATTTTAATAAGGATTGTGTTTATTTTTCCGCAGCGTTGCGTCTGGCATTGTGGAGGGAGCGGGCGGTGCGCTCGGGATGCAGCCGCCGCGCACTACCGCGCGGTGTGCCGGGCCCTCGTCGCTGAGGCACTCGAGCTGGCCTCCTTCCTCGCCAGAGTCAGGGTCGGGGGCGCGAGGGACCTCGGCGCCGCTGAGGACTCCGCCACACATTTGGACACTCTGCAGTTTTCCGATTGGGTATGTAGTATTTACTAACAACCTGCGCCGTCTATACACAGTAATTGTTATTTAAATAAATTTCTGTTAAATAAAATACTTTTATTTAGGTAAAAGAATTTTTTAATTGGTTTGGAATTTGGAGTTGTAACATTACAAATAAAAAATAAATTATCTTTATAATATAAACATAGATATATCAAATTACAAATAATATACAAATACGATTATACTGGATCCCGCATTAAGCTAATTTGTATTGTGGTATTTCATAGTGTCAGTTGTCTATTACTACTAATTTATAGTGTTATATCTACGAAAATATAATAGGTATTAAAATAAAATATATACATATGCTGTCAGCTCATATCAGCTCATGTTAGCTGTCATAGTGCAATCACCTCTTAAGTCCTAAATAACTAGACCAAATCCTGTCAACGCCTAAATTTCAAATGACAGACACTTGATCCTGTGGGCTGACTGTTATGCAGCAGTACCTGTCTAAACACAATGCAACGTTCACAAGAAGTACTTGCATAAAGTGCAACGGTGCCCAGTTTACGCATGCTGATTGCTAAGTTACCTAATCCAGTATGTATTATTAATGCTGGCTGGTTGACTAGGAATTTCGAATCGAATTAATCGTACAAAGGCGTGCAAATATTTATACAGCGAGTTTAGGCTGCAGATAGAATTTGTATTTAAATATTTCAATAATATTTAAAAAAAAGAATCTAATTAAATTGTGACAAAACTATTTTGAATTAAGAACTAAACTATTGACACAATTTTGACAAAATTTCTATGTCACTAATCTGTAAGTGTATCCTTTCAGATAAAGATAAAAATAATAAGAAAAAATTAGCAAATTTTTTTACAAATGACGAAGCTATGAGGTAACAAACATAATAAAAAAAGTACAGCTGAATTGAGAAGACTCCTTTTTTTTTTAAATTAGTTAAAAATATAAACAAACGAATTGATGTGACCATAACTCAACTAATGTCCAATAGTAGAACAAACAAAGTATCGTATAATTGATCGAATGTTTTAATTTATTACTAAGTTCATTAAGAGATTGTTTCTATGATAATAAAAAAAAAAACTGAGTTTTTTTAAGTTTTATGTACATGAAAATATGTGTTTATATATTTATAAAGAAACTATATAAAGGGAGAAGAATTCTTTTTATGACAATAATGCAGGTACTAAAAAGAGGTTTTATTCAAAACTCATCTGCTTGAGTACTTATGTCCTATACGTGTTCTACTATTTGCGATGTTTAAGTGGTTGGGTTTGAAGTATTGAATACGGCAATGAAAAGACAGGGTACGGATGCATAATATCTTAATTCTCAGAAATGGCAACCCATAAAGGGACCAAGGATATCATGGTAATTTATATTTTTTAATGACTGAAAATGGAATGGTAACCCCGCCTGCACTATCGGTATTAGTATTAGCCCATCGTGAAAAATTCCGTGAGAATTAACCACAATGGTTTCCAGGGGGAACCGCGTGGAAGTCGGCCTGATAGGGCACATTGCCAGTAATGGAACTGTTAGATACCACCACCAACAATCCCTTTCCCCCCGGTAATTTATATTATAATATGTTTATAGTGCTATTCATGTTTATAGGTAAAAATTATTACTTTTTGTTTGTTTTTGTTATTATTATTATTGTTTGCCGGGTCAGTATTATAAAAAATTATAAATACATAAGATAATTTAAAGTAAGTACCTACAATGAAATTTGGGAATTTATTACTTTGTAACTTTTTCAATTGTACCCAGTCAAACCGAAGGATCTGGAGAGCTTTACAAGTACGTAGATATTAGAAAAATTTGAAATGCCTACGCCTGTTTAACATTTTTTTAAAGAAAACAAAATCATTAGTACCTATCTAGTATCAAGTAGATAAGCATGTTTTTATATGGATTAAAATGAATTTAGGTATCATAGTAAAGTTTGATTAAAATTACCTACCTTCCTACTTTTCTCAAATTTAAGTTACGTTTATTTATTGCCTACCTTACAATATGCTACTTTCATAAGAATAAAAAAAACACATTTTTCTTTTTTTATATATATTTTATGCACATACCTATGTAACTACATTTCTTTTTATTTATTAATTTCAATAACACATTGACGTTGCGCCTTCCGCTTTTTGTATAGCAATCTCACGGACAATCAACTCAGCTATTCTATTTTTACAGGCGCGGTTTTGGATGCAAGTAATTGGAGAACTAAGAATGGGAGTGAAATTGAAAAAAGTCAACTATTCTAGGACACCTATCGAATATGAGTTGACACCGTATGAAATTTTAATGGATGATATTAGGTCAAGAAGGTACACGCTTAGAAAAGTAGATGGGGCGATACCTCAGAGGTAAGTACAGTTTATAGCATAAATTTCATATTTCATTTCATGTAACATATGTACCTATTTTATGTAAATTTACATTAGAAGGATAATTTTAAAAATGTGCTTCTGGTACCGATTCTTGCATCTGCTCCCGAATGTTTAAATGAAATGGTAACCTCTTGCGCTATCGGTATACGAGTACGCCAGCAGAACACTAGTGAGAGATGGTAGGTGAGGATAAAGTTAGCTCAGTTCATCGTGATGAATTTATTAGAAACCGCAATTCAGCAGTTGTGCTTGCATTTACAATGTGGTGTATATTAAATCTATATGTATTTATTTACTTGCTACAGGGTAAAATAAGATGTTATATACATATATGGATAAATATATAATATGCAGCAGCAGCGGTATGCAAATATTGAATTGTATTTTAGTAATAATTTAGAAGATGAAATATAACAGTAAAATTACAGTGGTATACTGTGGGGTCGAATGGATTTTATAATGAATTAATCCATATTTATAGAAAACAGTTTTTGGTTTTTATCACGTGAACTGTATTTATAATAATATTATTTAAGATTAATGTAAATTTTTTTTTCTTGCAGTGTAAAGAAAGACGCTCACGCAATGATTCTCGAATTTATTAGAAGTAGACCTCCACTTAAAAAGGTACGCACTATTTTACAATAACACAAATAGTAGATATTTTACGTAGGTCCCTATTATAGATAAAATCTTCTTAAGTATATACTAAAGGTTGCTCGGAGGACATCGCTATTTAGCGATAAGGCCTTCCTTTTTGTAATGCAGATTTATTTGTACATATTTTATGTTAGATAAATCAAATCTTTTGAGGGAAATAATAAAGAGTTTTTATTTAATCCTTAGAATTTTTTATATATATAACTATCAAGAAAGTAAACACTTTTAAGTTGCAAAAATAAATAATAAATTCAGTTCAAAATATATTTGCTGTAAAATCACACATGGACGAATTTAAAGTCTTCTTGTTTCAGAAATCGCCTAAAAGAACTACTACTAATACCTACTAATAGCAGGCATTATGTAGAGAAAAAATATTACAAAGCTACGACATTCAGTAAACAATTTTATAAAACATATTTCTTCGCACAGGCATCAGAACGCAAACTGCCGCCACCCCGCCGAGAGGTGACCCCTAGGGAACAACTCCTGGCTTCAATACAAGTCGGCAGGCAACTGAGGCCCACACCTTATTCTAGAAGATTATGTGAGTAATTTTATATTATATAACGTTTTTAAATAAGTTTTATGTGGCACTACGTGTAAAATAGAAATTAGTTGAGCTTAAGAATCGATTATATATAATTGATAGCTGTCGTTAGCATTTTACCATTGGATTCGGAATGTTGTTATTTATAGACAAGAAACCGCAAGAAAATCTAAGTTACTCTTTTTAAATTTGCAATTCTACGTAGTATTACGTATTATTTCGGAAAATATTTAATCTTTACGGTATATAGAAATTATCTAAAACAAGAAATAAAATCTTCTATTTCAACATAAGTATAGGTTAGTTAATAGTTCTCCTACTTCCCCTTATTCTCTTACATCTAAAAGTAATCACTTAATATTTGATATGCCTTAAAACATTGTTCCAGATTCCAAATCCTATTCTGTTCCACCACCTTCCTCTCTTCGACGTTCCTTATAAATACAAAATTCACTGTTACTTATTTTAGGTAATAAAAGTAAGAAATTAAAATCACTTTTACGTTTTTATTTATCACGCTACATATACATAATTAAATGAATAATAGAAAGTTGATATTATCGAATTTGTCTGCTTGTAAATATATATTTTTGATGGTTACATTTCGTAACTGTAATGTAGATACTATTTTATATTAATTTCTTGCCACAACGCCTGCTCATTTGAAATAGCAATATTGCTCTACTACTTAACCAAAAATGATAGGGCGCTGTAAAGAAATGCTACATACATACATACATATCTGTCACGCCTGTCTCCCATTAGGGTAGGCAGAAACAATAGAACGCCAAATGCTTCGATTCAAACAAACCTCTTTCGCTTCTTCCACATTCATCAATCTTGTTTTCGGTTACGGGTACTTTTAATTTGGCCCTTCTTCAGCACGTCGCCTATTTGGTCGACATACGTCCGTCTACGGCGGCCCCTACCGACATCTCCATTCATTCTTGCTCGATAAATCTCTTTCGTAATTCTTCTTTCATCCATCCTCTCCAAATGACCAAACCAACGCAACATTCCTTTTTCGATTTTTGTCACTACATCGTCTTTCAGTCTACACTTCTCTCTAATCACACTGTTTCTTACTCTATCTTTTAAAGTAATACCACACATACTTCTCAAAGCTCTCATCTGTACAGCATTTATCTTACTTTCATGCTTCTTCTGCCATACCCACGATTCGCTTCCATACATGAGTGTTGGTGTCAGTAAGCAACGTTTGCTCGACATTTTTATTACATAATCGAGAGCAGTTTAACACTGTTTCCCTCTCCTCTCAATATCTCTGTCACACTTCCCATCCCTCGTAAAAAGAAATGCTGTTCTGTTTTTATACTTTTTTTTTATTTTGTCATATTTTAGGTCGATGAGGATTATTTATTTTGTAATTTTGAGTCTGGTGATCGTTGAAGTAAGAACGTTACAATTACATTATTATTCCCTATTATTCTTAGAATTTAGTGGTATTTTTAATAGATGATAATGGAATGTTAATCCTGCCTGCGCTATTGATATTCGCTGCAGGGCAGCAGTGAGGGATAATAAGTGAGGATGGAAGTAGGTTAGTTGGCGTGACCATTTAAAAAAGAATTAACTATGATGGGTTTTCAGGGATAAATGCGTAGAGGTCGATCTGATAGGATATATTGCTAGCAATGATGTTACTAGTCGCTATTAATAACAATTCATTCTCACCTCGATAGTAATATTTCTTTCATTGCCATTTCTTGGGTTTATCTATCTTCATGCCAAGTTCCTTGCAAGATAGACTGATAGAGGAGGGTAAAAGATGTTAATAATCATTAATGTTTATAAATAATTACTAAACAGTCATTTTTAGGAATTAAAATGTATTTAAATAAATTATTATTAGACATATTATACAGTAGGTATCATCTAATTTTAAACTAAGTAGAATATAGAAAAAAGTGTTTAATATTGTCTATTACTTGTCTAGTAAAATCTTACTTTTTTTAATACACATGAAGTTTGTATTGCGTGAGAATTGAATCCACACCTTCTGAAAGTGAGGTACTATATTAAACCGCTACGTTACCAATGTTGAGCATCAATACTTCCTCCATCAACTGTTGATGACGATGTCCGCAATCTAGTTGCATAATAAAACTTTATGTGAAGCTATGTATTTTGCTTGACACATATTCAAAATTTCTGTGGTACTGCGGTGTGCGGTTTCTTTGATAATATTCATTGTAAAGACTGCAGCTGAAAACGAAAGTGGATTCTGTGGTAAAAATGTATGTTGCAGAGATTTTTCGTTAACAAATCTTTTTTAAAATTTTAAAAGTACTGACAATTTGCATGGCTGTGTTTCAGTTTGAAGGGTGGGATATGGCAGTGAATTTACGGGGTACAGAGTTATAACACCTGAGTCTTCAGGAATGGCAACGCATGGGGGGGTATCATGGGCGAAACAGTATACTCTGTTATGTCCATGGTATTGCTCGTGTCTATAGGCGACGGTTACCACTTTTTATCAGGTGGGCCGTCAGCTTGTTTGCCATTTTAAGTTGTATAAAAAAAAAATATCCTATCGACCTGCTGATATGGAATATGGACTTAACAGATCTTGCAGGACTGGTTGCAGCTTATATAAAGTACAAGTATCAGCTTGTGTAAAATGGTCATGTAATTAATAATTTTTATTATCTGTTTGTATTTATGTTTTAAAAAATATAAACCTTAAGATACTCTTAAGAAATATCGACTAAAAAAAATTTTCGTAGAGGCATAAGAAAAATATATTCTAGGCTTATATTATCTATATAAAATCTCCTTCTCTTTCTGCAATACTTCAATAAAATAGGCCAATGTTTTTATTCTATTTAAGTGTATTTCTGTCATAAACCACGTACGTAATTTGTTAATGTGTACATGCACATTTGTTAACATGCGTCGGTTGTAAATGGGGCATTTCTTGACACTCGATGCTTCATCTGGTTGTGAAAAGATACATGAGATAAAAGTAGCTCAGTATCAAAACGAAATACCTATTAGATAAGGCATAGATAAATTAAGATAAGGAAACAAATGCATTTGGTGATCTGATCTCTATAGTGTATTGGTGGGTACCACGTTGTTTTTCACAAATGTAGTCCCGGGTTCTATAACAGGTTTTTAGTAGACAAGTCACCTTTAGGCAAAGATTTCGTTGTTATTAGCCTTACAGTTATAGGTTACAATTTGACAGGTTTATCTGTGAAGTCTTTAATAGTTTGTAACAAGCTACTTGGTGTTCAACTGGGCATTGTTACTTTCTTTGCAGAAGAAATGATCTTGCATTGCGTTACTATCGCTTTTTTATTATGTAGTGTTCTAACAACGTCTTTTGAAGTCATTCGTGACTTTTATATTGTGTATATTGTACTATTCTATATAATGTGATTGTTCTATAAATTGTGATATAATGTAATGCCCCACATTACGTATGCGAACAATGCTTCTGTACTAAAAAAGTAATTGAGATCAAAGTGACCGAATAACGTTTAAACTTTGCAACCATACGTGAGAGAAATTGTGATTTTCATCAAGGTTAATTTGTGTTTAGTTTATACTTATTAAAATTGTTTAGTATTGTAAAATTTTTATTATGCATACTTACATTGGTCATATTAAAAATAATTAATGTACAATGGCAGACTTATCCTATAGAGGCATCTCTTAAAATTTTTAAGAAGTTGAAAGAAAACTATAAAATGTTCGAGGGTACAAGTTGTACAGTTAAAAATATATGTTGAAATTCGACATTAAATGTTGGATAACAGACATTTAACATATTCATTTTTTGGGCCAATATATACTCGTAGATATTGTAACAAGAATATATAGATATTGCTGCATATTACCCACACCTAGTATTTAGCACGTAAGCAAAGACGTCAGTACTCAAATACGTATATAGGTCATCTACAAATATTGTACGCTACGCCTGGCGTCTGCTTGTCTGTCCAAAACGTCGAGATTAATTCGGTCTGGGTCACTGGGAACTGAGGATATCGAACGGATTGGATTACGTAAAATGTTACAGCATCCACTGCGGTGAGGAAGGTCGGAAATAGCCTATTTATGTATTCGTTACACCTTTAAAGACCTTAAGGTAATATATTTAGAGTTAAATTTTGTCATACTGTAGGTGCCAACTTTTTAAATTAACGCGAAATTGAAATGATATTGCAATTTAAGGGGATTAGGGGTTTAATAGCCACTTTAGGTGTAAAATGATTCGCTAGATGCGACGAGATTTTTAAACGTTTATTAATTTTCAGTTTTACATTTTTTGCATCATAAAAATTCGATTTGAATCTTAATAAAGTGTTTATTGAACCAAAATTGGTCTAATAGTAATTTTACACAAATATATATGAAAGATATAACGTAACATACCTGTTGATAGTAGCCACTATTACCTATACTTGGCGGCCCGTGTCGAAATTTTCCATTACTCTACAATTATTGCTATGGGTCTGATAGTTGCTTCATTCTTTAATATTTTAAAATTGTTATTAATGTTGTTCTTAGATGTTTTAAGACATTTCAATTTTTTTTTATTGTTAATATTTTAACCCACTTGTACCTGTAATATTAATTCATATAAAATCTATAAAAATTTAGGTATCTTAAATATATTATATTTTATATTAGTTTGGAAAAAATTACCTTCCGACTGTTTAAATAATTCGAAAGGTCGGGATTCACAACCGAAATAACCGGATAACTGAGAAATAATATTTATTTTAAACATTTAAATATACTTTAATAACGATTATAAATATGTCTTCTGACATACGAAATGCTTAACAGCATATTTTTTTATGTAAAAATAATTACCTAATGGCCTACATACTGTATTATTGATGACAATAGATTTACAATCACAACAGACAGCGTTTCTCAACATTGCAATTTTTTTGCCTCCTCGACCTAGGGTTCGAATTCTAAAAGGCTTAAAATCCAATTTGTCCGGAGCGTGTTGTACT